TATGATAACGTTCAGAGGAAAATCTCAGATGCTATTGGTCAGACCCCCTCATAATAGCTACCGCATCTCACAGAAGCTAGAGTAGGTTTACATGGAGTAGAAATCAATATTCACCCGTAGGCACACACTAAAATACAGTATTCTGAGGGGAAGGAAAGGGTAGGAGGGAAGGACAAGAAAATTCTGCACCTACCTAGCAAACGGAGCAGCAGGAAAAGCACCCCCAAAGCATAAGACTTGAGTTCAGGGCTCACGGTTCTGTAGGAAGAAGAGAGGTGAAGAGTGAAATCGATTCTCGGTGCTCTGCTTTGATTAACACGCCCCTTGGTGATTCTTCACTGTCCCTCAGGGTGCCATCATAACCTCCTCAGAAAGTCATTTATGGGGTTTTTCTCCTCCCTTTGCCTAAACTGCCTACAGCCCCGAAAGTAATTGCAACTTTGGCCATGGGATAGGTTCATGAATTCAGTGGAGTCATTAATAACTGCATTTAATCTTTCCACTGAAATAAGAAAGATAGAATTCACAGCCCAGTAAATCATCATTTACAAATTCCATCCAGTACTTGTAAGATTCCAGATGTTGTGATGTGGGATAGAAATCTTTTCGTTGTGAGACTTCTCAGACTAATGGGAATAAGAGAGGGGAAGGAGGACTGTGGACCACGAGATTCAGTCTGTCTATTAAATCAAGCCTCCTAGGGAGGGTGTGTTTGTACAGAATAGTTTCATGAGACAGACAAGCATTTGAATTAGCTTTACACAGGGAAGGCAATGGCCGCTTTGCTTTTTACTGTGAATTGAACCCACTCTACTTCATTGGCATGAGTCTTCAAAGGTGCTTTAAAAAGTCACTAATGGTCTTCTGATTTACTTAGCTCAGAGATGTCATTGGCTAAAGCCATCCTTTTGGGTAGGGTCTGTAAAGCCTTTGGCATTTCAAAAATCATTACCTTGGTCTGAAATCTTATTAATAGCATTTTAGGTCTCACAGCATATAAGCGCTGGGAAAACAGGACAGCTGGGTTCAACACACAGAAACCTAAAGGCATCAGTTGCTTTTTCCATTAAGTCTTTACAGGGTGCTGTACTCAGCAATATGAGTGACACCCATGATGGAAGTGGTGGTCTGCAGTATAAAAAACTGGAGGGGAATCAGACAATGCTGATAAAACTGCCAAAAAGAGTAATTGCTTTTAAGTTAAGAGAAACTATTTTAACCACTTGCCCTAATCTCACACATTACACAGGCCATATCACACCATAGCATGGCTTCTGCAGAAAGCCTCTGACTTGTGGTTGAATTTAAGCAGGGTTTTCAGGTAGAAACCCATGTGCTATAGAAAATAGAAAAATAGAAAAATGAAGTATCTACTCTTGGAAAAATGTTCCAGTGGTTAAAGACTTGGCTCAGATTAGTTCCTACAATAGGGTGAGGAGTGAAGGAATCAGAAAGAATGGTGGTTGTTTGGAGAACATGAGGTGATAGCTGGCAAACAGCTCATTTTAATTGCTATCTGTGATTCTAAGGAGAGGGTAGTTACGAATTTCCATGTGGGAACTGTTTATTTCCTACAGCTGTGAGCTGAGCATTTTTAGTGTTTCCTTCCCTTTTTCCTCTGCTTGTATTCTCCTTCCAGGCGGGTGACAGGCTGATCTTATTTGAAGTCACACGCTAAGATGAGGCCATTTAGGATCCCACAGGTGCTGGCAATTTCCTTGCACAAAGAGCCCTTCAAACCTCAAAATATGTTTGCCACAATATTTAACATTATAAATTTGATTCCCCTTTAGCAACTGTAGATGCAAAGAGAGAAATGAACTAGTAGGTGGAATATCTCATTTTATATCCTGCAGGGAGACATGCCCTCATAGAGCTGCTCTGTCCAAGATGCACTCAAGAGTGCATCTAATACAGACCTTATTGATTTAATTTTATTGGAATTTTCCAGGCTGCAGAATGGATCTGCTATTTGTGCCTCTGGTTATTATTCTCAGTAAATGACAGCCTGGACAAAAAAGTAATTCTGAATAAACCTGAGATTATATATATATATACACATACCCGTACCTCATAGGGTGAAGTGTTCTATGTGTTTGGAAATAACACAAGGTCACCCATTTGAATAAGCTACTTTCGTCCACCTATTCATTTTGGCTCAACTCAGAGATGTCCTTCATACCTTCATGTTCCCTCTGTTTCTTGGGCTACTTCCAACATGAGAGAAGTTAAATCTCTAGCTAGGGCTGTATTGACCAAAATCAGCCTTTGTCATAGTCTTTCTTCTTTCTTTTTTCTTCTGATTTTCTAATGGTCAGTGCTTTTACCCAAGCCAAAGTGAGCTATCTGGAGACAGGCAGTGCAGCCCAAAATGCTGGATGAGGCAATGTTGTGTGAGATGCTGTCCACAGCTCCGGTCCCCTTGCACCCCTGGCCCCGCACAGCATCCTGGCCCCACTTGCATCTCCAGTGAGGAGTCCTCCTGCCGCCCCGCGAGCGCTCCAGCTCCTCCAGGCATTGCTCTTACCTGATGAGTATGATGACCGACGGCGTCTGCGCCATGGCCCCGATCATGCTGCAAACGCACATCACGCACAGGAATGTCAGGAAGGCCTCTTCGCAGCCGGGACTGGGGCATTTTCCAGGAACGACCGTCGCGTTTTCAGCTGGGAGAGAGCTGAGGCACGAACAACCGCTGAGATTCTGCAAAGGAACACAGGGGTTCAGAGAAAACAACAGCCAGGGTCCACAGCACTGGTCCTCTGCAATGAGGATTTATCGAGCAGCAACTTCAAAATCTCTAATGGTCAATTAATTAATGAAGTGCTTATTTGAGGTGGTTTGGAAAAGATTTCAAAAACACGTCAGCTCTGATGCACACTATGAGCAAGGGGGAACCTTCCTAAGGCTTGTGTCTTTTGTACCTGCCCTTCCAAGTCTCTCCCATAAATGTCACTGCAACAAAATTACTAAGAAGTTATGCCCCTTTTGGGAAGAAGGAAGAAGTGATCTGTGTTCCTGCTACACAGAAGATCCCCAAATTATGGTTCTAATTACTGTCTTATTTACCTCTGTCTTCTTGGCTATTATAATTAAACTGACACCCATTAAAAAGAGGTAAATCTGAAGCCCTGTCCCTGGCTACCCATTCACTGTCTTGCTCCAATGCCTCAAACCCAGGGAAGAAGAACACCATGCATGTGTCTTAGCTCACCAACAGCCATCAAATCTGGGTGGAAGAAACCCTACTGGACTCAGGTGCACTGCTGGGCTAATAACTGCCATTTAGTTTAGTGGGAATTATGGAGAGTTAGAAGCTGAAGCCAGGCAAGATAAATTTTATCAATATGCATCAGAAGGAAGGAGAAACAACCACATTGTCCTTTGATCTCTCCAGTAAGAGCAAGATGTCAAAAGAAGCTTTGTTTGCTAGTCACAGATTTAGGATTTTTTTTCTTATTTTCCAACTCACCCTCCTGAATTTCTGAGAGGGGGATGTCAATACAATTAAGGCATACAACACTACCACAAAATCCCTTAATGAATACAGAAGAAAACGATCATAAATGATTCATGGCCTGTCTTCAACAGGCTGTGGGGTTTGCAGGTCACATGTTTGTAAGAGAAGCGATGCCACAAAATAAAATACATTAAAAAATAGCTAAATCTTCTCCCCTTTCTATCTGCTACATTCAAGCAGAAATTCCTTTGCACTTTCTGGTTCGCTGCCTCCAAAGATAAGGACCCGCAGGGACACTACTCTAGCCCTTCTGACACCAATCTCTTTCTTCTGCATAGGAGTCAAATGATTTCCTTCCAAATAAGTGCACAGAGGGCAAAAGGGACCGCAGTGCAGAACTCCAGGAATGCTGGAGTAGATGTGCAGATGCCTTTTCATCTGGCAAGCAATAATTAACGTAACAAATTCCCGCGCTGTGAGTCAGAAGCTGCCACCTGAAGGCTCTGCAATGGTGCCAATTAACACCACCGCGGTGGTGTTTGCACAGGGACAACAGGGCAGTGATTTGTAATTCCTGGCTGTCACTGCGGTGCCTAGCTAGCATCTAGCCAGAACACAAGCCAGCGGAGCAAGCCTCGTCTTAGTCCAGGGAAATGCATACCTGTATTGAAATGCCCTGGGGCGATTTTCCTACCCTTTGCAAGTGTAGGTTCGTTATGGCCTTGGTTTACTGCCCTGGGCATCACGGCAAACACAGAATGTGCTGCTTGTTCCCTACAGGGTCTCATCACTAGGGGAAAAAACAAACAAACAAAAACCATTTCTGGCAGTAGTGGGGCAGATTCAATCACCCCAATGTGATTTTACACCAGGTATAACAAACCATGAAGCAGTGAAACCCTCTGCACTGGTCATGAAAAGCTCCAATGTGCTTTGGGAATACCGGGCTGAATTGGCTGGAAGTAGCAGGGCCAGGATCCCTCCTGGGAGCAACCTGGCAAAGCACTGCCCGACTTCCCTGCAGCTCCTGTGCCCCTGACAAGCTCATCTGCAGTGTCCCAACCACTGCCTTCCCCCTTGTTCCTCTTCTCAAACCATTTTGCACCAAGGGGTTATCCCAAGGCAGAGCAAGTAGTTTGTAAAAGCTACATCTGCTTGCTAGTGCTTGGCCTCTTTTTACCTGGGTGATCTTTCATTTTTTTTTTATTACTGACGTGCGATACAGCTCACAGACATCAAAGATAGACTTTTACCTTCGTCCTATGGAGCGGCAACATTTTACTACGCACGTCAAATTGCTATCGATCCTCTGGGAACGCCCTCCATCCTGGCACCACTCAACCACCCATTTATCACCGTCTTCCCTGTGCCACACCAGCTTGCACCCTGGCACCACAATTTCCTACGTGTGCATGGAGCAGAATTTGCACCTCCAGTGGCACCCAGATTTTAGGGTATTTATGTCCACAAGTTTTCCATGCTGCTGGGTTTTCAACACTGGCTGACACAGAAGGAATTGGCTGTTTTTGGTGCAAAGCCCTGGGACACCAGCCCTGTAATGCCAGGCTGGAAGTCACCTGCCTCCAGCCAAAAGGGAAGCTGAGAAAAGCAATGGCATAAAACAAGCAATAGGTACAGTCAAGGCTTCCTACGCCAGGGTCACTTACAGGAGAGAAAGGGCTATAGAAAAATTCCTGAGATGAGCGTGCCAGAGCTCTGCCTGTCAACGCAGTTACTCCTAATGCTTTTTGGTTAGGCAAACTTCTGCAACCAGCTCAATAGCAGAAACCAGTGCATGAAAAAGAACTGACCTATGTGATTAGAAATTGTCCGCAAAGGAAAAGTGGAAGGAGGGGGTCAGAAACATACAATGCACTAAAGTTAAACAAAGCATTCAGAGAATTTTATGTCCCAGTAAAACGCAACCCTTGACTCATCACAAGCATATAACACCCACAAGACCCTCTAGGCAGGTCATTACCTGGATTATGGGTTTAAAAACTGGTTTGACAGTTTGGCTTTGCCTCAGGGCCATTGCATGGCCGAACTGCTCCATAATTCTTGATAATACCCTTTCTAGAGGATACTATTGCTTCATTAATTTGTGTTCAAAATGTTACTGCAAAGAAACAAAACAAAGCAACAGGACAAAGCCCAAGATGATGATGGAAAAGCTAAATAAGAAGTGAATAAGAGAGAAGAGAAGGAAGAGCATGGGTTTTGTTTGGAGGATTGTCCTCACAGAGCATCAGGAGATGCTGAATTTCTATTACTGCACTCTTGGAAAGGAGGGAGAGGTTTGCTGCAAAACACACGGCGAGGTTGTTCCTGCCTCTGGACATGGATTGCATGGGTTTTATTCTTGTTAAGGGCTTGGTGAATTGGTGAGAAACTGTGCTGCATGCCCTGTACAACTGGGCGGGATTGATTTTAGGCTGGGCTTAACTTTATCATTTACCTTAATTCTAAAAGGCAGGAGTTGTAACGGTAAAATAAAATACCGTATGTTTTATTCATGTGAAAAACTGAAAGGTCAACACACAGCAAAGGTTAAACCTACCACTTTGAATGGCAGAAAAGGGTCATTTAAACTTGTTCTGTCTTTGTGCTTGTGGTAAATGAAGCATCGGGAGGATGTTGTTAAAATAAATAGTATTTTGTCTGTGACTTCAGCAGAGCTAGTTTGTTACCTAGAAAGAGAAGTCTAAATCATGGAGATGAGGCTCATTACATGTTCATAATCCCCTTTCTACAACAAAATCAAGGCTTTCATCTCAGAGCCCACAGTGATTAAAAGTCTCTATCTCACCTAATTGTCTCTGCAGTGTGTTTTTTGCTTGAGCACAGAGATACAAATACGAAGTTAATTAGCACCGGTCATTATGTTTAAGGTAACTTAAACATAACATAATTAGTTCTCCTAGTGCAAATTAGGGAAATCGTCTTTATTCTAGGGTTTAATTCAAAAATACAACAGAAATACAAACACAACAGAAAGAACTGAATTTGTCTTTCAACCAGAAGAGCTTAATTCCCACGTATTTTCTCAGAAAATAGCATGGTGGCCAAGGAGACAAATTGTAAGAAAGCAAAACAGAAGCACTAAATTATCAGAATAAAAAGAATTCAGTGGTTGAACTCATGCTAAGAAGAAAATGCTCACAAATCAACCTGCAAGATCCTAATAATTCAGTTTTGGTGTGACTACAGCTGTAGGTGTATATATTAAAAAAAAAAAAAAAAAAGGCCTGTAAAATTGGCAAAATATACACTGTTAGAAACTGGACAATCTGTTCAAGTTACTACTTATGAAAATTAAAGTTAAAATATCTAGTGGTGTTTTAACACTGGCATTTTGCTTCTTAGTTTAATGATTTTATATTTGCATTGTATTATTTTACATTTTCACTTAGTGGCAGTGGTTATCCAAACTCTGGATTATAAAGGTATAAATTATCATTCCTTTTTGTTCAAATACACAGTAGGCAGGCAGGAAAAAGAGATGATAGTCATATAAATATTTTAGTTAATGCTACTCCAGGTGTTTTCACATGGGCAACTCTGTGCAATTTATATATCTGAGCACAGCTTGCTACCTGACTCCTCTCCCAGCCCTGTAGACCCTGTATTCCAGTGAAAGCAGCAATCCTAGCAATTCTTGTGCAGTTCACAGCATCTATTTTTCCTTCGTTTAATTACAACACTTCAGAGTTATGCAATAAAATCCTCATATCATCATAAAAAATTAATTAACTTTAGCCAAAGAGATTGATAGTGTATTCATTAATTAAAATGTGATTTACTTCTCTTTGGCTTCAAGAGATTAGATTCCATGATATAGCACTAACATTGCTGCTGACTAAAACACAGTTTGTCTTTTCAAAATATGTGGCTGTACTACGAAAGATACTGTAAAATGAGTGTGATATACAAATATTATTTTTCTGCTGATATTGTAAGTTCATTCAACAAATGAAAAAACACGCAGCTTTACACAGGGAGTTTTGTGGTCCTCCTCCCACGTGTGCATGCACACCCTGCTGCATGTGGGAAGATGCTTTCTTGGGGCAGGCCAAAAACACAAGTTGCATGGAGACTCTGCAAAATATAACGAGGAGTTTTCCGATGGTGTGAACTCTAACACACGTTCCTGGAGGCCAGGGGTGCTAAGCAAGGGATACTCACCGTGCTGCTGCAGCCAGCAAAGCAGGCAGATAAGTAGGTGACCCCGTCGGCCCCGCACACGGGAGTGAAGGAATCGGTTTGGCATTCACAGTTGTTATTGCAGGGGGCATACGGGTCGAGAGGTGAGGTCGGAGTGGAGCTGCAAGAGACACAGGAATCAGCGGGCAGTGCCGTGACATCAGCGCCACACAAAGGTGGCTTTGAAGGGGATTAGTTAAGGCAGACAAAATATACACAGCAAGCAGGCTATCTGGGTCGTGCCATGACGAGCTCCAGGCTGCACTCTCTGCTGGGACAGGAATACCTTGGCCACCATTCCTGCACAACAGGAGACCTTGTCTTGGCAAAGGAGCCTTGGGCTGCCTTGTCTCTCCACCAAGCAGCCCCAAGGAAGCCCAAGGACATGCCAGGAGAGGTTGCTCTGTGTTTTTCCTGGAACTGTGACAGCAAGGAGCAACAAGGCTGAAGTCTTTGTCCTTAAAGAGTCACCACTACATTCTGAAGAGCAGCAGAAATAAAATATATCTCAACTCTCTCGAAGTCTTGTCAATACACAGGGTATTGGGGGCATGGAGCTTTAAGAGCCTCCTCCTCTGAATTTCCACATGTCTACAACTTGGTTTGAGAAATTCTAGGGAAAGGGGGCTCTGAAAGTATGTTGGGACTCACTTGTTTCCATAGGGAACAGTAACCCCTGCCACAGGCCCGGTGTCACAGCCCAGGAACAGGAACGACACGTAGCAAGCCGTGGACACCAGGTTCACCAGCATGGCCATCCTGATGGCTCCCAGAGCAGACAGGCTGAGCTTCTTCACCAAGAGGCCACCCAGAAAGATGCCCAGACACGCGCACGGGATTGCTGTCATCCCTGCAAGAGGAAAACTTGGTTAGGAGAAAGTGAGAAATAGGGTGATCGAACCACACTGTTAATGTCTTTTCTTTACAACAGGCAAATCTGTGCATTAGCACAGGGGATAATGATCAGACTTTTGAGGAGACCATGCTGATGTTTATTCATTTCAGTGTGGTGTTCTTAAATGCCACCAAGCCAGACTACCTGCCACAAATGCTGTTATACTGGCAGTGGTAGCACTGGAGCTTCTCCGGGATGGCAGATCAGTTCAGTGACCACCAGCCCACCCTTCTCCTTCCTCAGGCCCTGCACAATTATTCGGGTGCTGCTTTCTCCAATCTCATTTTAGCTGGTGTGGCCCTACAGAGGATGGATGCAAATGGCTATGTGCCTTGCAGCATCTTCCTTCAGTTCTCCTCCATATACAGGAGGATGCCAAAATTGGTGAGATTAGCCCATGCTAATCTAAACTTCCTCAGGTCAGACAGTTGGGAGCCAAATAAACTGTCCAGAGTTTTGTGATGCAGCTAGAAGCTTTGGACGAGCCCTGCTTGAGATACTTCAAAGCGGGCTGATCTTCAGAGATTAGGTGATAGTTGCATTTGAAGAGATTAAGCTTTCCTTTTAGAATCTTCTTAAACTGTGAGAGGCAAAAATCCCTGCCAGAAGTGACTCACTTTCCATGCTCAGAAAGGCATTATCACACTAAACTTGCTTGCGTTCACTTTGGTCCTTTTGCTGTTGGTTACACCCCAAATCTCACCTATCCAATCTAAGCTCAGAAGCATATCCCAATCCTGGCATCCCTGGACAACTGGCACCTGGGAAATCTAGCAGCAACCTTTTTTAAATTAAATAAGGTATTCCCAGGAAAGTGTCAAAATCTCCTACCCACTGCTAGGTTAGAGACAGGACGTGCTCTGGCTCTTTGGAAATTCCCTCCTTGCAGACTGGTCCAGCATCTGCTGCCAAACCAGGCTTGCTTTCTCCCAGCAAATTCCCAGTGATGGAATTGCTTTCCTTTGCTACATCTCCAATTTTCAGGAAACTTGTAAGAACCTAATACCTCTGAGACCTCTGACCCTCTTGTCAGATTCCATCAAAATTTACCAGCAAGTCCCTGTGTTATTAGGGGATGGGAGACTGACTGCAGGGGTTTTGTTTCCTTTGGAAATCCACACCAAAACTAGAAGATGTCAAAGAGTTCAACAAGAAAATGCATAACCATCAGGAGAGCAGCTTGAAAACTCTTTGATATTAAAATCTGTCCGTTTCATGATTTCACAGTTTATGACAAGTCACTGCCAGCTGCCCATCTGGCGAGCTGCGGTTGCGGATCATCCAAGATCAACACGTGGGTATCTTAATTGGGCGCTGCCCAAAAACAGCAGTCCTAAACAAATTGTTTAGGGGAATGGGAAATACGGAAGCCTCTCTGGGAATGAGCAGGAGAAAACAAAAGATCCTGACTATGTATCAGCGTTCTGAAAGTGCAGCAACATGGTGTGGTCAAGCAGAGCAGGGACATTTGAAAGTCAACCAAAATGTTGATTATCTTTCAACTGCTGCTTTCAATTATCTGAACTGCTGCTTCCATTTCCAATCCCAGGGGAGAGAAGGGACTTGCAGGAGACCCTGAGTTTCCCCACCCCAGCAGAGACGCTCACATAAGAGCTGGTAGAGCCCTTGGCCAGGCCCTGCAGCCTCCTGTGGTTACTCACCCAGGAGCTGGTTGGCGGATGAGGTGGTGAGGTTGAACTGCTGCTCCAGGTATTTGCCCAGGAAGGCGGCGAAACCGGCCACCACGGCGATCTCCATGCACGCTGCCAGGATGATGCAGGTGAAGACGGGGTTGGAGAGCAAGTGCTTGGTTACTTTGGGGATCACTGAAAGACAGAAGGAGAGGGGTTTCTGTGAAGGCGCTTCTCTAGGTGGTGGAGGGGCCTGGCAGCTCTCCTGCAGGACAAATGTAGGATATTTGGACTAATTTTCCATTCTGCATAGACAAGATATGGCAACCCCATAACAAAGGAGAACAAGTCCCAAAGCACCATCTAAAAGTTCAGATATGAGGAGGATGCACGTTTAAATTTCACAGATGTTTTCTACATCTTGAAGGACTGATATTTCCCGAAATTATTTTTGAGCTAAAAGCTTTCAGCTTTTGCCTCCTCCCAGGGAGGACAATCAAAGCCTTGCATTTTCTTTCCTTTTTCCCAATCTGCTCCCCATGAACAACGTGGAGTGGCCATCAGGCACCACGAGTACTGCACTCAGGGCAACGCAAACCTCGCCAGCTTGCAGCCACAAGTTAACCCCGCTTGCCCTTGGCCTTTCCTTTTCCTGCTGTCTGCATTTGCTCTGCTTTCTTATTCTCGTGTGACACCAGCTTGCTTGCTCCTGGCCAGTGTCCTCCCAAAGCCGGTCTCCATTTCCAGTAAGCAAACACGAATTACCTTACAAAGGGAAATCTGGCTAATGAATCAGATAGCACATTTTCTACTTCAGCAAACATTTTAATTATTGCAGAGATAACACAGTTTGACGAGGACAGCGTCACAGTATAGGGGAACGCCTTGCTTTGTCTCAACACCCGGTGACTAATTTCTCCCTGAATTAAATGTGAAAATCATTAAGTTTGAAAATTACCTCTCTGAAGGGTAGTGAAGCATTGGCGAACCCCATTTGCATTTTGAAAAACCATTCCTCACCTCCCTCTCTGGTGTATTTGGATCTGGCAGATGACAGATTCCTCTGGTGTGGCTTCTGCTTTCCTTTAGGTCTTTTTTATTTTTGGTGTAAAATCTAATTGTACTAAATTCTACTAGCTACAGTAACTAAATGCACAGCTCTTTGTTAAGGCTCTGCTTGGGTTTCCTGAGCTCTTCTTTTCTTTTTTTATTGTGGGGGGATGTGAAGGGAGAGGTTCTAATTAGGCTTACTCTCATCTTTTTGGAAAGGACCTTTCTACAGATTCTGGTCTCTTTACATCACAAATGTTTCTTCATGCTGTATAAAAATCTTGGCTTCCTGAGGATTTGCTGAGCATATAATGAAGGTGCAGGAGGCACAGTATTGTTCAGAAGAAAAGGACAAAAAAGAAAAAAAAAACACAGAAGAAGAAGAGGAGGGGGTGCAGATATAGGCTGATCTCAAAAGCCACACGCTGCCTCTTTCATTTCTTTGGTGACCACCTACAGAATTTTCCTTCTTGCCAGGAGAAGGAGGAGGAAAGCAAAGGTGGACTTGGCAGAGCTGAGCTTAGAAAGCCATATTTAAGATATTACTGCCTGTTGTGCCTCTGGAGCTCAATTTGTACGAGATTAACGGATTCCTTGAGATGTGGCTTTGTGCCAATTGCAACTCAAAGACACAAAGGTCTATCTGCAACTTCATCCGCCAAATAATAACAACGACAGCCTATCTTTTGCAGGAGGGATCTTGGAAGTATTTTTTTTTTCCTGATGCTGGCAAGGCTGCTGCCAAACCATCATACATACCAAGGGCAGACTCATCTTTTGTACTTGCTGAAAGAAAACACAGCTTTTGCAGAGCACCATCCCATACAAGGGAGGCAGCACCTTGCGACCCCCTGGCCAGGCAATGCTGGGCTGCAAATTCCTTCCCTTCACCTCTGTTTTTCCTCCCTGGCTGGTTAGGCACAAACTCCCTGGGATAGACACTCTCTTTCATTGTGGATCTGACCGTTCCTTGCTGCAACAGGTCCCTGCACCAGCTGCAGCTTATTGAAAACCCAGAGCAAGGAGTTCAGAGGCAAGGCAGGCAGATGCCTGGCAGCCTCCGCCATCTCATCAGCCAGGCCAGATCATTCCCTTTCATTTTCTAAGGAAAATGACAGGAGGCTCCCCATAGAAATGAATCTCCTTTCATCTTACTAGTGCCAAAAGTTAAGATGAATCATTTGACACCTGCTGCTGCCTTATCTGTCTCAGTTCTTGGGGTGAAATGCCTCTGGGAACAAGATTAAAAGTCAGCAGTGAAGTTTAAAAACCTCTCAGAAGAATAGACTGACGTGCGTTCAGCTGCCTGGCATATGGTGATGGGGATGAAGAGGGAATGGGAAATGTTTGATGGGGGACAGAAAACCACTGGGGAACACACTGTCTAGGCACGTCTCTTCTTGCCTGGGTCCCAGGAGAAAAGTCATGCTAAAATTCACCTGTGCCTCGCTGACTCAGTCAGATTTTAGTTATGTTCTTAGAAGTCCTCTCTGGCCCACAGCATTAGCTGGACTCTTTGGAGTCATGTGTTGGGGGTATAAATCTGGGGTTTAAGTCCTCTTGCCAAACTGGAAAAGGGAAAGGTTTTTGCAATCAAAATAGAGCCTCAAAAGTCTTCTGGGAGAAGCTCCGAGCTAAATCAGACATGGCAGAGAAGGAAATCACTCTCCAGTGCTCAGAACATCTATGTGAATGGAAAGGTGGCACATGGCTTTAGAAACCTCTCCCCAGCTCCTCTCTTTTTCGGTCCCATTTTACTGAAAAACACTGTGCCTCCTGCACCTTCATTATCACTGCTCATTTAACATCCTTATCCCTACAGCAGCATGCCCACACACTACAGAAACAACGACAGAATAGAGATTTGCTTTGCCGGTGGCAGCGAGAAAACCAAGGCGGCCGAGCCTCTTCTCTCTGTGGACATGCCTAAAACCCTCAGACGTCCCACTTTCCACGCCGGGCTGGGATAATTCAAGCTGGAAGGGCCCTAGGAGGATCTCTTGCAGCTCCGGCTCCTGCCAGCAGCTCTAACCGCTCAGCATGGCACTGTTTTGCTCCACAAGCAATGTCCAGCGGTTCGAGTCATTGCACGTCCTCCCTCTCGCCTGCCCCTGTGCCAGCTGTGGGTGACAGGCCACAGGATTCACAAGCAAATACACTTAGGTACGCCAAGAAGCTTTGATTTGTCGCTAAACATCGGGGAGTACAGGGGATAATTGGCAACCTCATTACACGAGGTTTAACTACTCTCCAGAAACGACAAACTGTAATAATCACGTTGGTGCTTGAAATGAATTGTTAGGCACATTACAATCACTGAGGCCCCTTTTTCCAGTTGGAGCACCCCACAGAGACATGTTTTCAATTTGCAGTAAAGATGAGGAACACAGAAAGCAAAGTAATAAATTAGAGAGAGGTTTATGGCCCAGTCCAGTGTGGTGAGGGAAAGGAGAAATACAACATCGAGCCCAAGTGCTACTTTCTAGCAGCAAAGTAAGGAGCGAGTCTCAGATCTGAAGAGAAAACAAAAGGCAGAGATCCCCACATGGCTTGAGGAATAAGGGATGAAGAAAATAGCACTGGCAGCACAAAGAAAATACCACATGGAAAGAGGCAGCTTATATAAAAGAGAAGATAGAGTAAGGCAAGGGGCACTGAAGATAACTCAAATGAGTTTAATATGCCAAAGTCTATGAGGTCTTGGTGAAATTAATATCGCGGGAGGGAGTACGAAGGAAAAGGATGACAACCGTGGCAAATGGGCTTCTTGAGAAATACGGGCTGGAAGCAACAGTAACGCAGGGGCACACGATTTGTCACACACAGAAAGCAGGTCCTCCTGGTCTGTCATCCTGCCTCCAGCCACAGCCTTTGCTTGACTTTAGAGGGAGATGCAAGATTCCCTTGTCCATGCAATGCTGACCAGGGCAAGGTGCAGTATCTTTATATTGAGGGCTCCTCAACATGCTTTTTTGATGCTGATGAGGTCCCAAGACCCAGAACCCAAAAGGTGATAAAGTACCTCTCTGGATGTGGGCCAGATAGCCCTATGTTCACTCCTACATCCACAAATTGATTTATTTGAATGATTGTGCCAGAAAACTGGCAGTGGAGCTTCTCTCAAAGGCTGTGTTCACGAGTGTTCTGCATGTGTGCAGGAATGTTCCCAAGGGAGCACTGGACCCAAAGGCTCCCAGCTGGATTTGTGGTGACATGCAAGCCTCCCATCCCACACCAGGTCCCCAAAACACTCCCACTAATACCTGCCAAGAACCTTAAATCCTCGCGCTAATCATGTCCATGAGACCCCCTTGGCTTTTCATTGCCCAGGACTCTCCTGCTGTAGCTGGGAGCTTCTGGTCCAGCTCTAGGGGTCTGCTCGCAAAAGGCCCTTTTTGGGAAGAGAAGCCCCAGATTCAGAGCAGAGCTCTTGCAAGGCATTCAGCAGATTGGTGTGCCCAGCAGGAGGGAAGGAAGCAAACAGAAGACAAGACAGCTGTCAGCTGTACATCTCCCCTGCTCTGCCTACTTGGAAACAAAGCTGGATGAAAACCAAAGAGTTTCCAAATCTAAGGAATTTGCAGTTTTGAAATTCAGCTAATTCTGCAATGATTTTTCTTTGAATTCCTTGCAACTGAGCTTCTCTCTCAAAACCTGTATGTTTTCATATCAGTTTCAATCCTTTAAAGTGTTTTCATTTCCCCCTCCACAGAGATAGAGAGAACGTCATAAATTTCTGCTTTAAATCACTTAAAAACAAAGTCCATTTAGAGCAGCAGGCTTTGGCAGCATTAAAGGCGGCGGAAGCATTTAGGAAACCAAATTTAACTACAACTGACCACTCAATTCAGCGAAACATTACATTTTCATAGGAAAAAATTATTTTAACAGAATACACATGAGCCTGTTCTGTGGCAGTGGAGGGCTAGAGGCAGCTAAGAGCCAAGGGCAATGGTAGCATTTAACCATCCCCTCCTTGCTCTTAATCCACCACTTCCAGCTGTCCCTGCTCACCTACCTGTGCCTCATCGGTGGGGACATAGCCCCATCCCCACGTACTCCCAGCCGTCCCCGTTGCCTTTGATGGCCTCTTCGCCGCATGCCGTTCAAAGGCAGGGCTTTCGTTTCAAGTCCGAAGCTCCTGTTAAGGGTTCTTCTGTTCCCAGCATGAAAACACCCCTCAGGAAGAGATACCACAGCTTCCCGAAAGCCGGGCCCTCCCTCCTGCTTAGACCTTGGCAGAGATGTAAAAGCCTTTCTGACACGAGAGTTGGTTGCTTTTGTATTAATTGCAGCTTTTCTGAGTGCCAAAGCCAGCTAGAGGCAATGGTCTCATGCCAGCTTTGCACCTCGGAGCCCTGTGGTAAATCCCTCAGTGTCCCAGAGCTTCCTCCCAGGAGGAAGCCTCGTGGCACAGCTAGGAACGTCCGTCTTCATGCGACACCACTCTCCCTCCCCTCCTGCCATGTCCATCCGCTTGCACTGTTGGCTGCATCTCCAAAGCCAACTGATGGCCAAAAAGGAGCTTCAGTTTAGCTTCCAGGATGCCCTGCTGATACACAGGTACCGGGCCAAACCCGCTCCTCCTCCCTGGACACCCGGCACACGCTTCCCAATGCCCAGGAGTTGGAACCAGGGAGTCATGGCAGCACGAACCCCTGTGGGCATTTCCACACGCAGCCCTACGCGCAGATGCCTCCTCTGCTCTTCAGCTTCACACATACACCCCAAAGCCCATGGTAGGACAGGGGACATGACTATGCATGCATATATTTTTTTTTATCTTTGATGTATAGGAAAATGGAATAAACAGGCTAAGTTTTATACAATCAACTTAAATGCATTAAAGATACTAGTCCATGCCACACGTTCCTATGCAGATAGATTTATCAGCTGCTGGTCAAAAAAAGCACATATTCACAGCAAGATTCAGCATCAGGCATTCAATGTCTTCCCCTGTGGTACATATCTGAACATCTCCTTATTCTGGTGGACACTTTATCAATGAGTCCTCTAGACCACATCTGGCTGTGACAAAATGAGTAAGAGACTCTCGAAACAGATAACTGCCAAAATTAAGTCACCCATCATAATCTCAAAGGTGTAACTAAAAAGATCACTCATTTCCTGCACTTATTTGACATGGTGTAAATTGCAGTTGATCTACAAACAGGCATCTGGGCTCCTGACAGTCTGCAGTGGGGTTGCCTACACCACGTAGGCAAGTGAGGACCATGGTGCCTACTGGTGTGATCAGTACTTTGGAAGCATGTGCACTTGGCAGTTTAATTTCTGCACTTTGAGGAGTAATAGATGCTGTAGGGACCCTCCTCTAAGGTGTACAAGAAACTCAGCTAGCTCAGCACTGCTCCCGGGCAGAGGTGCCTTCCCTCTCGCAGCACAGAGAGATGTCACAGGCTTCAAAGCCCCTAGATGAGGACCTGTGAAAACTTCTGCGGTCCATTTCAAAAACTTGCCAGCCAGAAACAGGCACTTCAGCACTACAGTAAAAGACACAGAATTATGCTGATGGTGAATCATAGAAAAAGCCTGTTTCCAAAATCTGGAAAACTCCTCCTAATGAGGACAGAAGGATGAAAAAAAATCAATCATTATACTTAAAAATCCTAAAATTTATCTTTTTATCTTTCCATATTTTGAACCTTCTCCAATCAAAATTTCACATCTGCGACCTTTCTCTAATGAACAACCACATCAACTATTCAAGGCGTTTTTACATATTTCAGAAAAAAAACTCTTAAAAAAATCTTCTTTTTTTTTTTTTTCTTTTCTCTCCTTCCCACATTCACCTCCTTCAGCTCCCAATTAAGGCGCCTGCTCAGGAGGTCAGTGATGTTGTCCCCATTGATCCAACAGCACAAGGCTGGAATGGAAGCAGCAGATCCTGCTCCAAGGCAGCGCCTCTTGCACAGCCTGTGCAGAGCAGACCTGCCCATACTCTGCCACAAAAGGATGGATTTTTATCTGACCTTAATTAGAGCCAAGTCCATTTGCATAGCGTAGGATCCTATATGCTTTTCTATTCTGATTTGCTAGGAGACGTTTTCTGGCCTGCCAAAGACCTTGCTGCTATTCCAGGCTGGCATCTAGAGCTGCTCTTCCCCAAGGCTGTGTCCTCCACATCCCACTTTAAGGGCTGCGCTGGTGCCCAGTGCTCTCAGTCCATGCCCGGGATTGCACTACAGCTCCAATGCTGGGAAAACCCCAGTTCCTTCAACCTCCTCGTCACTTTGGGAGGCTCGGGGCAGCGGGTTCCCCTTCATTTTTATCAATTCTACAGGACTTGCATGGATTACAGAAGCTCTGTAACTAAAAAACCCTAAACCTTTCAAGCAGAACAAAGTCTGTGTTCAAAATGAGGACAACGTCAGAGATAATTAGAAGCTAGGGACAGAAATTTCAGGATACTGTTTCATTGTTGTTTTTTGGTGTGTTTTTTTGGTGTTTTGGGGAGTTACCTCGCAGCTGCTGGAAGCAGGACGTGGTGCTCTCGGTGTCCAGCGCGTGCCGCAGGACCCCGTTGCTCGGCTTGGGCCTCTCGTAGTCCCGGCCGGGCAGCATGGCCTGCTCGCTCTCCACCGCGAGCTCCGGCCGCGGGGGCAAGGACTGCGGGAACCCGAACATCGGCAGGGACGAGAAGAAGAGTAAGGCACCACAGAGCAGGAAGCCTCCCCACCACGCGCCGATCCAGCGAGGGTCGTCCGGGGTGATGTCCAGCTTACCTGCAGGGGCACACAGGCGTCAGCAGCTCAGAAGACAGCAGAATTAACCAACACACAAGCTGAGACACAGTTTTTTGGGGGGAGCTCTTGGCTTGTTGAAGGTGAGGTTTTCCTAGACACAGGTGAGGGCTCCATGGCACATCCCATATCCATCTGGTGTCAGCCACTCCAGGGAGGTCTATGGTGGGTTCCTTGCCCATGTGCTCAGCATCTCCAAGTACCCCTTAACCACAGCTTCTCCCAAGGGTCTTAGGCTCTGGCAGCTCTATGGGAGCCTCTAACCTGTTGTTTTTAAGCAGTGTTCCCCTGTGCTGACACCTAAGCTTTGGGCATCACTGCCCGAGGGTGTCAACTGGGCAGGGGAAATAAACCCTCACTCCCATCCTTAGCAGCTCCTGGCTGGTGATGAGGTCTTGAGGTGAAATGGTTAAGGAGGAGGTAAGAGACCTAGCACATCTGGAAGACTGGAAAAGACTCTTGAGCAAGGCAAGTACATGCAACTCACATATCCCATCCGTACAAAAGACTAGAAGAAAAGCAGCACAGACAAGGATACTGCATCTCCACTTTTGCCCTTACACCTCTACGCTTACCCCTTTTTTTCTCCGACACTGATGTTCTCCCTGTTTTGAATTCACAGGTGAGAG